CAACACACCCCCCTGCTGCGTGGGACATTGGGCTATTGTCTGGGTCGGGGAGAACAACAGCAGCTGCAGCTGGTGGCTCTGAGCTCACCGGGCTGCCTCTGCCCTGGTCGCTGCACCACAGCCCCCCTGCCCTGTGCCAGGGTCCCGGGGCTGCTGCCCCCTGCCCTTGCTCTGAGCACCCATCTCCTGAGCCGATGGTCCTGGTCCGTGCCCCCGGGAGGTCACCAGGCTGCCCCGGGAATCTGGCTCCTCTTGTCCCTTAATGATGCTCTGACATGAAGCAGCGGGGCAGGGCAGGTCACTGGGGTTTGCACCCCCTCCCGGGACCCCCCCTCGCTCCCCGGGGCCTCACCGGTGCCGCAGGGAGGGGAGAGACCCTCAGGCAACCCGGCACTGGCTGCCTAAGACCGTCACTTGGCAATCGCGATCTTTGTGATGCCTGTCAGCTCCAGCCTCCTGCGCAGCAGCACCGCGCTGCCACGAGCCGACAGGGCAGAAAGCGCACACTGGCTCGCTGAGCACGCACGGGACATGGTCCTGCTCGATGGGATGGGATGGTGGCTCCAGCACACTGCGAGTGAGTGAGCACAGGGCCAGTGCAATGGGTCCCAGGCTAGTGGGGAGTAATGCCAGCACCGCTGCAATGCCAGTAGTGTCCAACCAGTGCCTGCTGCAGGGGAGGGCAGGTCAGCTGGGCTGCACCCCATCTGCACAGCACGGGATGGGCATCTTGGTGTGGGACCTGATGCGTGCGTGGGATGTGGCTGGGACCCCTGCTCCGGGCCGGGGTGGGGGGCAGCACGCAGCGCAGGGCTGCGGCCGTGGCATCCGCAGGCAGCGCTCCGGCAGGCAGGCAGCGCTGGTCCAGTGCATATATAGCTAGTGACAGAATGGGAGCAGGTCTCCATCCCCGATGTGTCAGGCCACATCGCTCCGGGCGTGTGCCAGGGATGCGCGTGGCCACGGGAGCTGCGTGATGGAGGAGGGACGGAGCGTTAGGTCAAACCTGGGGGCTGCGCGGTCTTTTCTGGGTGCGCCCCTGGCAGCCCCGGGAAGCAGCGTGGCACTGTTGTTGTGCCCAGCACGTGCCGCTGCAGCCTGGCACGCGTGCAAGCCCCCAGCCCAGCAGCAGGGACCGAAGGGCCTTCCCATCGGGGCGCGAGGTGTGACCTGGCCGTCCCCACCAGGAGCCCAGGGACGTGGGTCTGTCCTGCTGGGCACCAGGCGCTGCAGAGCGGGGCTGGGGATGGTGCTGCTGTGCGCCCAGCAATGCGCAAAGCGCTCAGAGTGCGACAAAACCCACACAGGATCCGTCCCTTACTATCTTGAGTGTTTAGTTACAGCACTCAGGCCACATTTGGCTCTGTTTAAGGCTGAGCAGCAGCCCCAGTGTGAGGGGGTTAACCCAGCTCACGGGCAGCCCCTGCAGCCCCTGCTGCTCCTGGGGAGACGCGGGCCAGCTGCTCTGCCCCAGAGCTGGGGCTGGAGGAAAAGCAGATGTCGGTGCAGAGAGGCAATTACGGGGGATGCGATGGGGGCCCGGGGCTGAGCTCCCTGCAGCTGGGCTGCGGCAGGAGGCAATCACGGCTGCAAATTGAGATCAGATGTGGGCAGCTTCTGTCTCTAAATGGAGGGCTCGGGACTGCTGCCTGGGTTAGTTTTGCTCTGGTTTGGAGAGGAGGAGGAGGGTTTCTGAGCGCTGCTGGGGCCCAGGTTGGCTGTGGTGACCTGCAAAGCGTGGTGCTTCCTTGGGAGACCGGTGCTTTCCTCGGGCAGCCCCTTTGTAGCTGTGCTCCCTGCCTGCACCCTGCCTGTGCTGGGCTGGAGGTGCCTCTTGCCGGAGCAGGGGCGATGCAGGAGCTGGTGGCTGGTGTGGAGAAGATCAGGTTTGACTTGGAGGCTGATGTGGAGCAGCAGCGAGGAGCTCAGCCCCTGCCCTTCCCGGGTATGGACAGTAAGTTGGGGACAGGATCCTGTGGCATCCTTAGAGGATGACAGGGGTGCAGGAGGTGTTGGGGTTCTCCTCCTTGCTGGTGCTCCTGGCTCTTGCTGCACCCACCACGGTGCCTCTGGTCCTGCCTCCTCCCTGGGCTCCTGCCCAAGGCTAGGCTGGCTCCAGGCATTGCTCCCACAGGGATGCATCTGGCACGGCTCTGCGGGGGCTGCTGTTGGAGTGGGCTGAGATGCTCTTGCCCTCGATGGCGCAGTGGTCCTGGCACTGGGGCTGGCGGGTGAAGGTCTCCCTACCCTGCTTTCCCCCACAGAGCTGGGGGCGGCCGCCTGCGAGTTCTTCCATCGAGGGCTGTGCACCAAGGGTGAGTGCTGGGAAAGGACAGGGATGGGACTGACACCACCCTGCAAGATCCCGCGGCCACCAGGGAGCCGGACAGGGCCCCTCTCCGCTCCATGACCAGCCCATATCTGTGGCAGATTGCTTTGTGGCCCTGTGGCCAGTGGGTTGGTGGGTTTTGATCCAAAATGCTAACACTGCTCAGAGTCCATCGTTCCCCCTGGCCCTTTGGATGAGTGCTCCTACCCCTTCTGCACCGGGGAGGGCTTGGACACCTCCAGGGCAACCAGACCTTGGCAGTGCCCGGGGGACCGAGCCCCATCCACCCAGTGGGTGCTGCAAATCTCCTCCA